ATCACGGTGTCAAATATATCTGGGTCTGGTACCTCGAAGGCGAAGAACACGAGAAGAGCCGGTGGCTCAAAAGGGAATTTTAGAGTTTTGAGTCTTGAGAGGGAAGGGGGCTCGAGGGTGAACTCGGATGAAATCTGGGTTCACCAAAAAGAAATTTTAACAAATGAGATATTGTTATTAAGATGTTATATTATATAAATCAAAATGCTGCATGACAATTTCCTGATTGACTAGTACAAAAGAAATTTTAAATTACTAGCTTAAAAGCGAAAATTCACAGGTGCAGGTGTGTGCCGATTTTGATTGCTGTTTAGCGATAGTGTGAAAATTTTACATGGTTGTGAATTTTGGGGTGTAGATAAACTTAAGTCTGCTGCAAACTTCTGTAAATGACCACTGGCACTGTATCTTGAGTAACACTCGGGTTTCTGGGGATTCAATGACAGACGGCAGCACGCGATGAGTACATCGATCTTGAGTCCGGGGAGTATGTGCCAGTCGTTCATATCTAGAAGTTTGACCTTAAGGGACACGAATATACGTGATTTTGGAGTGAAGTTTTAATTTTCAAAAATTCGAATGGAGCCTGTCATGCTCAGTTTTCTCGCGACAACTGAAAACATAAAATGAGAAATCAGAACGACCGAATTAACAATTGCGGGAAAGTTGTCAAATATTTACAGTGGGAAATCGCTATTCGCAATTTTCCATCGTAGAAAACTAGAGTAGAGCTGTCCTATCTGACATAGGAGACCAAACAAACACGAGAACAGAGCTAAAATCAAATGGACCAGTGTGAACCTTCAACGGAAAGGCGGACAAGTGAAGCCTCCCAATGGTCCAGAGTCAAAACTATATTCTTGAGTTAAAACTTACTTCCCTTGATTGGGACTCATCGTTAGAAAACTTCTTGACTTATATTTGATTATATTTATGCCAGAGTCGTTAATTAGTTTAGTTACTCTGTGTCTCAAGCGTGCTGCTATGTAAGTACCAAATTTAGTTATCTCGAGTGTGTTTTATGATTGTTATGTTGAGATAAGGCGAGTTTTAGGTTGATCCATCTGAAATGGATCAAAGTTCCACGGTTTAATAAAAAATAACTTAACGGATTGTTCCGACCCTGTTTTTAACGGCGTTCGTGTATTTTGGGTATTTCGAGACCTAAGTATGGGAACGTTCTTATTTTCTAGAGTGGGGGATATTTTTGTAGTAGCCTTTAAGCTGTAACGGGTTCTAGTCTCATGTCGCAAGCGAACCGAATTGGCTCCGACCGTTTTTGAGGTAGAAAAACACAAGAGATAGTGTCCTGACTCTTGAGCCAATGGTTATAGGGCCTATTTTTCTTAAGCCTCATATGTGACCGAAGTAGGCGACTGTTACAGAACAACACAGAATTGCCATAGCACTTCGATTAGGCTCTAAGCTTTGCGAACAGCATATATGCGTGTGCCGAAAAACTGAAGATGACTGGCATGGCATGTCTCAAAAAGGCAGGGAGATTATCTAGGCATTGAAACCTGAATAGCCTTAAAAAAAGAATTTATCTTTTACGCACACTCCTTCTGTTTTAGAGCCACGAGAGCTCTACATGACCTGGTTGAAAAGTTTCAACAAAATCAAGGCATATATATGTTGCACGCTTATATAAGCGACGAAAAAAACCGACAAGAAAGTGAAAACATTCCAGAAAAAGACAGAAGTGAATTGACTTAAGCTCATGAACACGAAAACTTTGAAATTGTTCTTGACAATTGTTACTAGCTCTTGAAACAAAACAAGGAAACTAAATAAATAGAAAAACTGGAGATAAAACAGATTCCAAATATTTTGCGTTTACTTGGCACTCAATTTTTTTTACGAGCCTTCAATCTGGTAGAAAGATTCCCTGCTCTACATCAAAAGAGTTTGCCTGGGAGTTTTTTGCAATCGCAAAACAATGAAAAAAGAACTGTTTTTTTTTCGGTTGGTTACTGTTTTCCCCCGGTCTACTTAGAACTTAACGTCCTCATCACGTCAATAGTCAATAGTTCGGCTTACTGACGTAACGTTTCACGTCCTCATTACGTGAAAAAAAAGTTCTCTCTCTCTCTCTCTAGTATCAGGGAGACATATACAAATATCTACAGCTCTGATAATTTATTTGTTTCTAATACTTAAAATTGAAAATTAAAAGTTGGTTTCTCTTCTCATCCTAGTTTGAGATTCAGGTAGAAACAGAAAATAACCACATCAGAACCAATCAACACCCCCAACAACATTCAACAGCTCAACAAGAGCATCAACAACTCCAAACAACACAATCAACCTAGCTTTCAACGACAGAATGCCTACAAAAAATACACCCTGCCAGTGTAAATTTTTAGTCAAACGACTCGCTAATTCCCAAATCAACTATCAGAATTCAAAAACGAAACGCCTTCACTTTTAAAGCAACTTGAGGAATCGACGACTTACCTCATCGATCATCCTACAGAAGACTCACAGCCAGATGATCTCATAACAAAAATTACTGGAATTGAACACAACTTAGGCAACCTTGTCAATGACTACAGAAGACTACTCAAACGAAATAACAGTGCAACAGACGCAACATCTTCAGCAACCAACAGCGCCCAATCCGACAACCAAAACGCATCCAGTCTTCAAACTGCTTTAAGCAACCAAAGCGCTCTTATCGAGTTCAGCGCTAACTTATCAGCAGTCATCTCTACTCAACAGCAACAACCAGCATTTTCAGTAGCAAACATGTCTACATCAGCTGAAAACCACCAGATTTTGCCAAACAATCAACAGCAACAAGCAACAATTTTTCCGCAATCAAATAGTTTTGCCGCATTACCGTTTCCTTCGACCAACTTCACGCCTCAGACTCACATCAACACAGCAGGTTACACTGCGCCAATTTCAACATCAACAAATACACAGAAATTACGACTACCGAAGATTAAACGTGACAAGTACGGCGGTGATCCAATGAAATGGAACATGTGCTACGGCTTATTCCAAGCTACTGTTCAAAGTCAACCAATCTCCGACGCAGAAAAGCTAACACACTTGCAAATATTGACAACAGGACGAGCTCATCAAGCTATCGCCGGATACTCGTGCAACAGCGCTATGTATGCAACAGCTCTTCGAGAACTCGAACTATGTTTTGGAACACCAGACATAATTGTCAACAACTATATCAACAACCCACAACAACTACGCATGCCTTCAACGCAACATAAGCAATCTTTTATGGATTTCTCATCTTTCATTCGCAATCTCGTTGAAACTTTCCAGACACTTGGATTCACTAACGACCTGAACTCTACCATTTACGTGCAATTCTTAGCCAACAAGCTTCACTACTCTGAGCGACTACAATGGAACCAACACATCATCAACAACAATTTTAAGCAGCCCAGCTTCATCAATTTTAGTCATTGGCTCAGATAATTTGCCTTAGCTTGTGACTAACTACCCCAGGAAAACTTCAGTTCCTCATTTAGCCAACCCTCTTCTTCAAGTCATCAAAGAAACAGTGAACGTCAAAGCAATAACCATCGAGGCAGCTAGCCCCAAAATACAACGACCGATTTTCGGAGGACACAAAAAGACCGGAAAAAAGACTAATGCCTTGCACTTTTTGTGACCTGGATCATCACCCCTCACAATGTCTCAAGTACAAAGATTTGACAATTGACGATAAGCGAAAGCTTATACATACAAAAAAAAAACTTTTGTCGTAATTGTCTTGGACATAACATGGTAAGGGACTGAATTTCTAAGCGAACAAGCTTCACTTGCAACAAACAACATCGTAGCAGCATTCATCAACAGCAAAACTCAAACAGCGCCTGAAATGTTTCCTCACTGCAGCAACTAGGTTCAGACAGACCACGAAATTCAGTCAACTGACAGCAGAAACGCTTCGCAAACTCATTACTGCTCTATGCACCTGTTACAATTCGCAACAAACACATTTTTTTTAAGACATGCTTTTCTTGAAAATGGAAGCAATGACAATTATTTGCTACAATCGGTATCCGATTCTCTTCAGTTAGACGAAAGCCTCGAAAAAGAAGAATTTTTAATCGATGGATTTCATGATTCGAAACAAATCAAAGCACGATCTGTTGAATTGACCACTCACCGATTTGGAAACCTCAGCAAGCAGTTTGTAGTAAAACGTGCTTACATGCACGACAAGCTGAACCTGAAAGATGCTCAACCCGATTAACTCAACAGCATCTGCAGCAGTTACGATCATCTAAAGGACTTCAACTTTCCTGATTTCGACAACAACCAAGTTTCAATTCTCAATGAAACTGACAACATGGATCTTGTTATATCTCAAGCAATAAAAAAGGACCAGAAAATGCACCACGTGCAATTTCCACACCTCTTGGTTGGACAATTGGTGGTCCAACAGCCGACATACTCGGAAATTCAGTTTTCTGAGCCTACTCTTCTCACATCAACGACGTCACCGAAGACGCACACATTTCCGAACTACTAGCATCAACCTGGAGAATGGAAACTTACTAACTCTCTCCAAAGACAAAAAACACGCCCTTGAGACCCTTCGGCAGACTATCACCTACACAGAAGGAAGGTATCAAAGTGGGCTTCTCTGGAAACCGAACGCCTGTCTTCCCAACAACTACTTTGCTGCCGCTCAACAATTCAAGAAAAAAAAAACCCGCGTTCTCAACGACCCCGACAAGCTTGCAAGGTACCAGGACACAATCACAATTGAATTGACGAAGAATTACGTTCGCAAACTTCCAAGCAAAGAAATTCCTTCAACAGGATGGATACTGTCAGAACATGGAGTGACGAACCCAAATAAGCCTGTAAAACTCCGCAGAGTTTCAAACGCGAAATCCAAATTCAAAGGAGCTTGCCTTAACGACATGCTTTTATCTGGACCAGACCTCCTATGCAACCTACTCGCCGTTATTTGCCGTTTCCGAGAACAGAAATAACCCATTAATGCAGACATTGAAAGCATGTATATGCAAATTTCCGTCAGACCTGAAGACCGGAAGTTTCTCAGATTCACCTGGGGAACAACCCAGCCAGATTTCTACACTCGTTTCGTTTTCGGCTCTAACGAGTACACTCGTTTCGTTTTTGGCTCTAAATGCTCGCCTACTTGTGCGAACTTTGCTCTCCAAACTTGTGGTGACGACAACAAAATCGACTACCCCCACATCCAAGAACTTATCGACAGCAACTTCTACATGGGCGATTTCTACGAGTCAACCAACACCGTGGAAGAAGTGTTACAACTACCTAATGATCTAAGAAAGGTACTCGCAACAAGAAGTTTCAACCTGGCTGGGTGGATCACTACAAACTCAGAGATTTTAAGTGCAATACCTCAGCAACACCGCTCCATATCTTATAACGAAATGAAAGACCCAAAAACGACGACAGGTGAATTGGAAATCGGATGGAAAGTTCCCTCTAAATAACTAATTTTTCAGCCGAAAAAAATTCAGAATCTGAAAATAAAGAAGCCAACGCAGCGCAACCTTCTGCAAACTTCATCCTCCATAATTGACCCTATTGGTTTCACCGCACCGGCCACAATTCGCCTTCGAATTATACAGCAACACATATGGAGAAAAGGACTAAAATCGACAATCAAATTACCAAAATGAACCTCCCCGAGCTCTTTGAACTTCTCCAAGAAGCCGACAATCTTCAACCGCTCCACGTGCCTCGCCATTTTTGGCAGAGTCGACCTCAGAAATTACCTTGCACATCTTTTCGGATGCCTCATACGCACCTCTTGCTTCAGTGGCTTACTTTGTTTACACAACGGAACCCAATGAAAAGCCGAAAAATTAAGTTTGCTTTAGGCAAGGCCCGAGTAGCCCGTTAAAACAACACATCATCACGAAACTAGAACTCCAAGCAGCTCTGTTTGGTGCCCGTATTGCTGATTTCATCCAGCAACAACACTTCTTCTCTCTAAACCACACTTATCTCTGGACCGATAGCAGCACAGTTTTGCAATGGATTCGTGGATCAGACAAAAGACAACAAATCTTTGTTGCAAATTGTGTAGCAGAGATACTGGAGCTCACCCAATCTACTCAGTGGAAGCACTGCCCAGGTTACCTCAAACCCGCCGATAATGGAACTCATGGAATCCCCTTTTCGGAGTTCAACCTTAACAGCCGCTGGTTCAATGGACCAGATTTCCCTCTTCAGACAAAAGATGCTTGGCCCAAGCCGCCCTTTGAAACAGCCTCCCCTTTAAACACTGTGGAAAGCGACAGACAACGTGATTGCGTTTTCAGTGATACCGAAAAAAGTCTGCTCGATCAACATCATTCTTGCTATGTGACAGCCTTCCAAGTGCTCACGAATAGCAGCTCCTGCATCAATTACGAACTCTTTTTAAAGTGGAGCCGCCTTCTCCGCGCAACAGCTTTTGTTCTTATTGCAGCCGCACTGTTTAAAAACTCAACCAGAAAATCTTCAATCGATCGATCACTATCACAAACCCCTCATCCGAAACCTCATCAAAATAACTTGATTCAGTTTCCACCCTCAGAAATCTCACCGCCTTCGACAATTGAAACAAATCGACACCATAGTATCACCCTGAACGCATACGACACCGTTTTGGCAATGAAATTTCTCATCAAAAAATCACAACAGGACTCTTTTCCGAACGAGCTGAAAGATCTCCAGAAAAAAATATATCGTTGCTATCTCTAGCCGAATCCGACCTCTCTCGCCTTTTTCGACGAATCGAACATCATTCGAGCCAAAAGAAGACTACAAAAAACAAGACTTGACTATTGTTCAAAGCATCGCGTTATTTTAGATGGAAAACACCCAGCAATTTACCTCTTCATACAACATGTTCACATCTCTAATAAGCATTCCCCACTCGACCATACACGCAACACACTCCAAGCTGACTATTGGATTCTCTCAGCCAGATCTCAAATACGTAAAATGTACAACAACTGTTACGACTGCCGACGCCAGCTCGCCAATGGACTCCAACCTGAAATGTCTCCTCTCCCTTCATGTCAATTTCCATCAGAAAAGCCATTCCCTTTTCAGGAAACTGGTCTCGGCATTTTTGGACCCTTCGCGTCAAACAATTCAATTACCTTCAAAAACGGCATGGACTGAATTTTTTCTGCATGACGACTCGCGCAGTTCATCTGGAAATGTGCCAAGACCTATCATCCGACGCAACTCTAAGAGTCCTCCGCCGCTTCTTTGCAAGAAGGGGCATCCCTTCAGAAATCCGCTCTGACAACGCAACGAACTTTTTATGAGCAGAAAAAGAACTGTTGAACACCTTCGACAGCTCCTCGATGTACCAATTTTTTGGATACCACCAGATATCCTGGAATTTCAACCTCGCATATGCAACCTCGCATATGGGAACGTCAAAAAACTCTCTATACGCCATCATTGGATCTAAAGCCCTCACAGATGATATACCTTGTTGTGCGAGATTGAACAGTTTATGAATGCAGGACCTATCACGACTGTATCGTCATCTCCGTGAGACATCGAAGCCCTGACCCCCAACCATTTTCATCTCGGAAGAATGTTTGCCAGTATGCTTCCAAGAATTGGTTCTAAGCCCTTAACATTGGTGAAGCAATGGAAAATTACACAGCAACTATCAGACCATGTTTGGAACCTCCTACTGAAAAAGTTCATGCCAACTCTGCTTGCCCGACAGAAATGGACCTCGAAAACTCCACCTAATTCAAAGGGACAACCCGTTTGGATTTTAGAAGATTTAACTCCTCGTGAATTATGGCCACTAGGTCGCATAGAATCACCAATCCCATCAGCTGACAATGTAATACGACAATACAACGTTGGAAACCGCCGTGGAAGTGTTCAAATCCCAGCAATACGCCTCGCTCCTGTTTGTCCAGACTTCTACACTCAACAATCCGCGCCAAATAACAGCGATCAAACTGGAGCAGCCTCTCCAACGCCGACATCCTGAAAGGTAAGAACGGAAGAGCCTGCCAGCTTTGCCTTCCTAGACGACTTTAGACATACAGCAACGACGAAACCCCGATGCCAGAAATAAGTTTTGTATGACACCGACACCTGATACGCAACAACAGCCTTTTTTGCCGGGAGCCTACTCTCACAAGGTTTACTCCAACGTTCGTTTATGCTCTCATCTTCTCTACATAAAATTCTGAATGCAACCACATTTCTTCAACCTGTAATTACTTGGACAACGACAATGACTAATCGATCTTCTTCGACAAGGACCGCGGAAGACAAAGACCAGTCTATCTCCTTAATTCACCAGATCTGAAGTACTACTCCGGAACAGGATCAATTGCAACAATCGACTAGCTCCTTCAATCAGACTCCAACTTTCTTTTCCGTAGCCGACATTGTGAACTGAGCTCAGGACAACAGAGAAACCTCAGTTTGACATCATACCAACCTCATGTTGACAGCCGACAACTTCAAATTAGACAGTCAACTCGACAAGCTGGCACACTCACCTCGACATAGTTTAGGTCTTAGCTAAGGGACACCCACCCAAACCCCTCCCGATTTTTCTTTTTTAATTTGCGATTGCAAAATAGGGCCGACTGTACAGTGCACTACATTTTGATGCACAGATTCAACAATATCAAGGCATATATATGTTGCACGCATATATATGCGACGACGAAAGCCGACAAGAAAGTGAAAAACATTCCAGAAAAAGACAGAAGTGAATTGACTTAAACTCATCAACACGAAAACTTTGAAATTATTCTTGACAAATGTTACTAGCTCTTGAAACGAAACAAGGAAACTAATTAAATAGAAAAACTTGAGATGAAACAGATTCCAAAGTTTTTGAGTTTACAAAGACAACAATTGTTTATTTAACCAATCATTGCGTCATGGTTGCTTGAAGGCCATGTCCATGTAATTGACCTTGGAATGAGCGAGGAGAAAAGATTGATAACACCGGGACAGGTCAAAGGTGCCGCTTACAGAACAGCTACTCCAGAGATTTTCAGAGGTACTTCTTTGATAGATGGATCCCTTCATCGAGTCTTTTTTGGTATAGGTCAGTAATGGTCGTAATAAAAAACTACCTCAAGCACAAATTTTTCGCTTTTTTTCGGAAGTCAGAAAAATAAAGCCAATTAGCTTGCCTCAATTCAATTGGAACAATTGTGTAGTGCAGGATTGGAACAATTGTGTAGTGCGTTACACTATCAGAGTCAACATTTGAAACGAGCCCTTTTGGTAGATTTTATGCAGGTTAATATAGTGGTGTACGCACCCGGTTGGGCCCTCTAAATATCAGGGGCGAATCGCCCGGTAGAACAAAGGAAATTGATCTGAATAAACAACCACCCCGAGCGTATTTCGCTTTCTCTTCGAAGTGTCGAAAAAAAAACATAATAAAAATCATTAAACAAAAACATTCTAACCGTAGTTTAAAAATCATGATAGCAAAATTTCTCATATCAGGGCGAATACCTAAATGTTCCGACTGCCTTTTCAGCTATATGGAGCAGTAATTACATGAATATCATTAACATATTAAATTTAATAAAAAAGAAATCGAAAATTTTTTTTTCAAAAAATTGAAACTTTTTCTTGAAAATCATCCCCCACACGCCATATAAATCACAAAAGAATAGATTTCGCTCCTATTAACTAATCAATTATAGCATATAAGCTTCCTTGAACCAATTTGGAACGATTTCTAAGACGGATTAAATCTCCGCTTACGCGTTAATAGCGCGAAATATATCGCGCGTTAATTGTCCCAAATTGGCCTAAATGGCATTCTTCAAACCCTCATAACTTTACGAAAAATGATCACTGGTGAAATGTCTTTTCAAATTTAAGCTCAGGAAAGCAATAACTTTCGAATGATATATAAAAATTTTGTCAAAAATGGCTAGTTAAAAAGTCGAAATTTGTCTGAAAGAAAAAAAAACCACCCGAGCACAAATATTCCGTTACTTTCTTATCGAAAGTCAGAACGAAAAGTCGGAACAATAATCATTAATGTTTATAATAAGACTGATCGCGTCAGGGCAAAGCCCTGAGTATTTCAACTGCCCTTTATCATAAAAATCATAATATTGATTATAGTAACACAACAATATAATATAAACATGACGTTAGTAATTGTAACAATGACAAAAACTATTAAATGAATTAGTGATATATTTCTAGCTTAGGTCAAGTTTCAAGCATTCTGACCAACATCTGCACTAACAAAACTAGGAAAATGAAGGCCAGATTTCAAAAAAGAATTGAAATAATTAATTGAAGACAGACTAGCAGCTCAGGTTTATGGTTTATTGTTCCGACTTTCGATACGAAAGTAACGGAATATTTGTGCTCGGGGTGGGTTTTTTTTTCTTCAGACAAAATTCGATTTTTTAACTAGGTTTTTTTATATCATTCGAAAGGTATTGTTGTCCTGAGCTCAAATTTGAAA